GATTGTTGCATTTTTATAGCTCAGCATCGAAAAATGGCCCAAATATAAGTCGTCCGCAGAAAATGGGTAAAATTAGTTGGCCCACGCATAACACAGTTCATGGCTTGACCATTAGCTACACAACACGTACGCCTATTTTGACTTATAATGGACAGTAAGAATGTGTGTATTAATATACATTTGCAAAGAAGAGGGAAAAAAACAGAATTTGATTATGCTGACGAAACTCCTCCGCCCGTCAAAGATGCTTGCATGATTATGTTTTTAGCTACAACGTTGCCAGAAATTCACTTTATATAAACAAGTAATAATGTGAAATATATGTTTTGGGCTCGTTTTCGAGCCCATGTTCGTTGTTCCGCTGTTTCATTGTTAAAATTGTTCACTCGTCGCCGACAAACTAATTGCCATGAAAAACCGCACTCTCACACACAGAGAGAACGCTCCATCGAATTCCTACCAAAATGGAAACAGGCCAGCCATCAACCCAGCTAGCTCAGCCCAGTCCATCGTAATCTTATTTACACATACTTTGATGGTTTTTAAACGGTTCTTGTTTACATACCGATCTTTTCATTCTTCTGAAATTAACAATGCGATACGACCTTGTCGCTCTCGTACCGTATACACATCCCGTCGGCATGAACAACATCAATGCCGGAAGTAACTTTATTGTCAAATTATTTGGGTGCCCACCTTTTCTTCACGAGGAGGCCACCGGCAAAAAAATATTTTTTCCTCATCAAAAATAAAGTAGATAGACGAGAGAAAAGTATAGAAATAAAATACAATTACCACGGGAGTCATATACTTTTGGCTGGCTTGCACACACAAAGATTCTCATTTGAATGATAGAATATGTTCGTCTGCCCCGTTGTTATTAGATTAGTTAACGGGCCGAACCAAAAAAATATTTTTCGTCGAGTTTTTTTTCCTTTCCGATGATTTTGCGCACGCTGGTGTACTAGTGGTTTGGCATTGCCTGAAATACTTGCGAGTAGTTTGAGATCGAAATTTAATGGAAAAAGTTTTCGCGCCAACTGAAGTGCCAAATCAAGGGACACATAAACGGAATCGTCGCTGTTCTGGCACAAGAGGCCTTTGCAACGACGCGCGCGCTCTGCGCTCACGCACCCATTGCCAGAAGTTTGCCATTGTGTATGTCTTCACTCTCACTCTTGGTCTCACCATCATCAATGAGATTGTCTATATGTCTCGCACGAACCGAACGAGTACACACACAACTCTAGCCGACATCATTGTTGCCGTGTATTTTGACAGAATGCCGAATCTATATAAATACAGTTGAAGCGCACACAAAATGATACCGAAACATTCAATATTGTAATTCAATGCTGAAAATATTAAAGAATCGAATCGAATACAAAGACGATGGGATTTTCTCGCATTAAATTACATTGGATTTGCCGTAGGATAATAAATCCAATTCAAAGCTTCTTCTAGCTCTGTGTTGTGTGTGTGTGTGTGTGTATGTTTTTTTTTTCGGCTGCCAATGCTGATGTGGAACCATAGACGCATATACAGGTAAAATTGTTGGAAGTTTAAGAGTTTCGGTCAAAACAAAATCAATAATCGATTGGAAATGATAAGTGGTGTTGGTTGGTGGTTGGCAAACTGAACGACCGAGAGATGGAATGTCATTCAATCAGCGCGCGTTGAATGCTGCTGTGAAAAGTTTTCACTCTCTGCCATGGACGAAACAACATCGCAAATATGATATAAGACCACTTGATTGTTTTGAACGCATAAAATTGACTACCTCACACAACCTGACATAGCTCTAATTAACCTTATTAATTAAGTCTAATGTAATCGATTGATCGGAACGACCAAAGAATCGAAAGTAAAGTGCACCTAGTACACTGGTTGAGTCGCTTACTTGAATACTTTTTGTGGCCGTAAATTCATTCACCGGAAAATACACAAATATAGCAAAACCTCAAGAAAATACTTTGAATGTCAGAGAATGTTTCTTTCGGTGGAATACAGGAGAGAAAAGGTCAAATTCGAGAAGAATTCCTCTCTCGTCGTTTGGCCTTTTCTTCAAAAGTAAAAGGAGAGCACTTTGATTATTGTGTTATGCGAAAGTGTTTTTGAGGTACATATGGCAAATATGTCAGTGTCTAGGGTGTGTATGGTAAACGAGAGTTAAAGTACCTCTGCAACTAATTATGAGCAATCATTTTGGTTAGGGCTCGATACTGTGAAATAATTTCGCTTTCATTTGTGTTATCTCAGTGAAAGGCCTTTTCCAGGTGGTTTTGATTCACGCATTTCCAATAACTCACGATATATCATCACATCCACCATGAAAATGGGAAGATTTTTGCAAATTACATGCTCGCGTAAATGCCAAAAGTCGTATACGCCTCTGCGTCCAGCACAAGCGCTGCTTCTCTCATTTTTTTTGTTTATATTTATAAGTATGAAATTGGCTGTCGAACATTCGTGGGAAAGTCAAGAGCATTGGCTACGATGACAATGCCAAACACCGAAAAATCGAACGATAAATAAATTCTATTTCAATTTCATCGTCGATAATTATATTACCATTAATAACATTTGTGCACATTTATCGATAAAAACAAAGGGAAAGGGGGAGAGAGGAGGAAAAAAGTGAATCGAGTAACGCGCACGTACATTTATTTACCGAAAATACAGAAACGATGAAAGCACAAAGGTGTATCGAACGTAACATTTGCTTGAACAATCACTTGTTCGCATATATAGATAAAGAAGCAAATTCGACGAACAACAAAATCATTTGATATCTACGGGGCGTTTTTTCCGTTCTACCTCGACGGTTTTTTTTTTATATTCGCTGGGTTTTTTTCGCGTTGTTGCTGCTTCGAACGATAAAGTTTTCGAAATATTCAGAAAATATGTTGGTAAATGATTTTAAGTAGGTTTTTAATTTATGATTTTATTCACCGGCCACCACCGACACAATTGTGAACGTGATGATACTGCATATACGGGCATTGATCGTGCAATTCTAAAGTGAATATACACACACAGGTACCGACAAACCCGATTGCCACTCTCCCGCAATAATCGTGTTTTTCTTATTAGTATGCTAGTTGTCTAAACAAAGTTTGTGCTCGCATGCCGAAAAACAACACCGTAAAACGCACACGCGAATGTTTGGGTGAACGAATGAACTGTCAACGCTTACAACTTGTTGCATGAAATTAATGAAACTCGATAAAAACAAACACAAACCGAAATAGAGAGAGAGAGAGAGGGAGCGAAACGGTAGCAAAAAAGCCAACCGAATCGTATAGAGCTACTCCATAGAGCGCGGAGTGCGCTAAACTGCTGACAGACACAGAAAAAAATGATAATATTCGGTGCTGTGGGGTGTAAAATATTTGCGTATTCTCGACTCAACTAAAGCAGTTGGTTTGGAATACAACGACTTTTACCATGACATAACAAACATGCACACGTACACTACCGTAACGCATTGGACAAAAAAAAATAAGCAAACGACACTCTGCTCACCAGCACACACACTATACCCGTTTTAAAATGCAGAATTTTGTTTGTTCAACGAAAAAGCACAAAATGATGGTAACGAAAATACGTACGTGCGCTTTGCGAGAGCTCGCCTCTAAGGTAAATATCAGTCGATGTTAATAATCGTGACTTTGGTTATTTATGGCAAATCGATAACGACGCATTTGAAACTCATTTTTCGGTTGCTCTACGAACGACGACAAAATTTAAACGAGTGAATGAAAATAGTCTGCATTAATCCGGCGATCCAATTTAAAAAAAAAAGCGAAACTTTTAATAGTTGATCGGATACTGATTTGTTGTGAATTTTAATTGCGATTTTCGATTTTCGGTTCCCGAAACTCAATCTCTATTTTTTTAAGTGTGTTGAACATGTTTTTTCTATTGTTGTTTTTATTTATATAACAAATTATTTTGATTCGCTTAAGAGCTTTAAATATGTATGAGGCAATATTTTCCGAGTCTTTTTTTATCGAGTTTCGGGCGTTTTTATTCAAAAGTTATTTACTATCCATAAGCCTGATGAGAGAAACTGAAGTGGGCATCTCTGTGGATGAGCGTTTTCCGAGAACTTGTGTTGTTGTTGATCAGATGTGTGGATGAGCGAGAGAAGAAGAGTATGAAGGAGAAAAGCAGAGTTGAAGGGTGAAAAAAGAGTAAGTAAGGAGTAAGATGCTGACACTCATCGCTAAACTCATCCATGATATTCAAAATGTATGCCAGCTGGAAGAGGAAGTAAAAGAGCACACAATACAAATGGGTAAAATAGTTTTAGATGAATATCTCAAAAATGTCTGAGCATCGAAACACATACACACACCTACAAACTCTCTCGCTATCTCTGTCAATCTTCGATGGATACGATGAAGTCGATGAAGTTGAGTGTTAAAATGGCTTGCACATTGAAACCAAATTCAAAATATGATGAATATATGTGAATGGGAATATTCGTCATTAAATACCGTTGAAGCGATGGAATTTCCATTTTATTATTAAATATATGTGAGATATCTAAGTCTGTTACCCAGGTGAATAAATGATATTGAGTGATATATTGTGAACCCGAAATTAGAGAAAATCCAAGCGTTTTTGCAGGTGATTTTGCGATTTTGAATTTCAACGAAATGATTTTTGAATTTCTGTTCTGAAAAGCCACCGACGTCTAAACTACACACACTTTTCACATTTGGAAGATTATTCAAGCTCCTCAGAATAAGAGAGAGCGAACAAACACTTTCTTAACATTCGAAATACAAACTACTTGAATTGCAATGAAATGCGTCGAACTACTTCTTCACAACAATATATTTTTCGAAACACACTCACTCGCACCCAACAAGAACACACACACGAGAAATAAATTACGAATATATTATTAGAATGAGAGCAGCAGACGGGGAATATAAGCTGGATATGAGAAAAGAAAATGATATGATATTTCTTCATCTATAGGTACTTACATAATTTTGAGCGGGTAACAATGGTAAAATATCTTGCAGCTCCAAATCCTTTGTATTCTCTTGCTTCTTAGTTGCTTCCTTTGCTCGCTCGATTTTTTTTTTCGCTGATGAAATTGATAGTGCCGTTTGTGTGTTCGTCAACACTCACTCGCTCGTCGCAAATTATTTTTCCGATTCACGTTTTCAAGCTTGATTCTTCGTTGTTAAACTTTTTTTCATACAGAATTCTATAAATTTCTCTTCTTTTTTCCGTCGTGATTCGGTTTTGCAGAAAATATTATCTCGCTTTTAAGCGTTCGTTCGTCCAGTGGTTTATTTTGCGAGCGAAAAGTTTTCCAAACAGTTTTTTATTCGATATCTTTTAAATTGTATCGTTGTGTTCGCACTTGTTGAATTCGACCCTTTTATGAGTAGAATCGGCGAAGCAACAGTTTTTTGTCGTTTATTTTTGGATAAGTCGCCGGAAAAAAATCAAAAAAAAAATTACCGACAGAAAAATTGATATAGATGAAAATTATTGTTCAATGATGTTTAGATGATGAATAACAAACAAACAACAACGTAAAAAAACACAAATAATTTTGCTGGCTTTGATTGATTGAGATCTGATGTTGTATCTGGTGTGAAAAAGTGAAAATCGTTTGATAAGAGCGAGTGAATTTGTTCGTTTATCGCTTGCGACGGCTGTTTTCAAACTAATAACAGAAATGTGTACTCGAGCAACTTGTAGCATTCGAGGCAACGCGGTGCGATGTATGTTTTCGTCGCTGTTGTCGTTGTCGTCGTCGTCATCGCTTGGCTCACTCTCTCTCTCTCTCTCTCTATCCCTCCATCGTAGTCAAATGGTGGTGAAAAGTCCCAAAAAGCGATAACACACAAACATTCCGCTCGTCGGAAAATGCTGTGTGTTGCTTATCGCAACTTGGAGACGGCTAGATTGAGCGAAAAAGAGAATCGTCACTTCGTCAGCAATGTGTTGCTGCTGCTACTGCTGTTGCCATTGGCACAGCCAATTGCCTATGTCGCATAGACACCCACAGTCATTCCATCATAGACGCAAGCTGAGCGATAGAGTGCATTGTGCTTAGAATATGATATCCCACGGAATGTCGACCGATGTCTTACAATTGGATAAAGAGCACTGGCATACGGCGCGTGCATAGCATTACATTCTCCCTGCGGAACGCGCTCTAGCTCTACCGCTCACCCTCCAACTTTTACACTTCTTCTCGCTCTCGTTCTTACTCTCTGTCCCTCTCTTCCGCTTTCGCTGACTCGTTACGCTTCGCCTGAAACGAATAAAACATGGGGCAGCATTTGTTATTTTGTTTTCACTGCTTTGGCCAATATATCAACACTTTCAGCACATGGTTTGCGTTGTTTTATAAGTGATGGTTTGGCATTACACGGGACACACTAGAGATACACATACACAAATAGTGAAGCGGAAACAAAAACACACATACACAAGCCGACAAACGCATGACGACGGCAACGACGACAACGATGACAGCCATCATCGTGTTTGGTTTGCATCGAATACCGAAATTGAAAGGCTAAACTATGGTACATAATTTTGCCGTTAAAAAGTAATTGATTGCTAAAGTTAAGGGTGATTGCGTTAGATGATGTGAGAAAACCCGAGAAAAAAATCGCATGCGATTGATGTCGAACATAAGCCAAAGGAATTCTTTTGCCTTCATGCTTTTACGGCAAGCAACAGCAACATTCTCACTGAGGCGAACTAATTTGGATGGTGGGGTTTGGAACACGATTCATTGCAATGATAAAAAACGATGAATATTGATAGATAACATTGGAATAATCGCTGGCTATTTTCCATTTCGAGTGAGTATCAGTTTCATGAATGATTTTCTGCCTACGTTAAATGAAGTCCGTTTTCGTCGGGAAAGTGCTAACAGTGGCATGTGCGAAAGGGTATCTTGTTGGGCCATGGTGCCGAGCCATACCATGTAGCAAAGGCTAATGAATCCTTTTTATTGTTGGCCATCTGCTTTATAAACAAATTAAGACAAATCAAAGGCCATCACTTTGGATGTAACGCTTTTGCGTTAATGGTATTAAACTGTCGACAAATTTAATGTAGCATTTGTATTGCTTAATTACATCTCAAAACATTCTGAAAATGGGCCCGTTCCCGCTTTCAAATACAGATAGTGTGCGTAAATAAAATATACCGTGAATGGAACCGAAAAGACTAGCTCAAGAAATGACAGCACGCAACATTTCGGGTGGAAGTTGAAGAAAAAAAAAACAACAACGTAGAGTGTTAGTTATACTCGGAAGATTGGTTTTATCCCTCAATCATTACGTGATCATCGTAGTCATCATGTGTATTTGTTGACGCGTTAACACTTGCGTTTCGCCAGAGCAACAGTTTTACATCGGTTACTTATAGGCAAACGTGCATTCACATTCGGTTTGAATATATCCATGCGACGCTTTTTCGCCAAAATACACCAACGTTTACATCATATCTGTCTTCAGTCAGCCAGTCAACTAGCACACTATATAGGCAGTAGTATCGGTTAATAGGGTTGTTTTTGTTCCTGCTCTGCACAAATGTATTTCATCACATTGCCATTGTTGGTGGCAACAACAACAACGACGACGACAGTCCAACATACACACACAATGCAAAGGCAACAAGAAGCGTCGCAATGCAAAGATAAAACGTGCTAAGGGAATACGTAGGCGTTCAATGAATGAATTAGGTGAATACTGAATACGATATAGAGAAATATGAACGTGGGAAAATTAGTGCTTAAATGAAAAATACACATTGTTGCTTCATTGTCGGCATGTGTTACTGTTGCCTCTGGTGCTGTTGCTGATGGTGATGGAGAACGGTTTTGTCAAAAGAAAAAAAAATGATGATGTTTCACATGGTTGCCCCATAATATGTTTCTCTCTTGTTGCAAAGAGTTGATTATTGAGGGATATATGTGTGTGTGTGACTTCTGTGGCTTACAAATCATTTATCTCATTTCAAATCGAAAACTGACCGAAATTTAGCACTTAATGACAATGGAATTCAAAGTCATGGCCATTCTCACTTCTAAACATTTTCCATCCAGTTTTCACTCCAGTAACGGAATGGTTAAAATGGTTTTTATCTTTGCATAAAGCTCCCATTTGCTCCATACTAAATATAAAACGATGAATTCGTTCAAGAGTTGTGTTTTTTTTATCCGTCTTCTCGTTTCTATTTTTTGTTATTCCGTTGAACTGTGAATACTTTTGCCATTCTACACCCCCATTTTGGATCGGTCGACTTTAGTTAGCTATAGTTTCCATAAAGGTTCATTCAAGCACTTTCATGGGAATTCTTTTTCACTGTGCGTAAATGCAAGAAGAGAATGAAAAAAAAACGCACACATTTTTATGACGTAACCTAATCCTTATTTATACCACCATTCTGAATTTATGTCAATGGTTAATGATGTTCTTTAACCAGTTTGAATTATAGATTTATTTTAAATGAGCTACGCACAGAGAGATGTATAGAATGAATAGAGAGAAAGAAAAAATGCAACAGAATTTGATTTAAATGGCCTCACTTTTCAACATTTTATTTCCACAGCAATCGCATATAAATCTGTAATTAGATGCTTATTACAGCATTTTCACATTTAATACGGAATGAAAGTCATCCTTAGATTACAGCGTTTCGATGATCCAATCGGGAGTTGATCAAATGCGTCACTCGTTTGCTTCCCATTTCAACTAAATTAGACATTCGGTGTCACGTTGCATCAAATAAAAAGTGTTATTACATTCATTATGGAATTTCGTCGTACTAATGAAATTCACACTCGTCGATTTTCGCTTGAAGTGATCCCTGGTCTTCGGGCCCAGAAGAAATCCGAATTCGTATCGATGCTGAAATTCGAATTCGTGTTGATGTTGTCTTATTCGATATTTGTCGAATCTATGCTGAATTCGATACATTTCGCACCATTTGGCCCAATTGCGATGGCTGGTGTACGATTTCAGAAAAAAAAGTAACTAACAAGTAACAAGTAACAATCAACACTTGTTGTCATCACATCATTTTGTGCACGTTGCATTGCAAATTGTCTGCGCGACCTCTGTTCAAAGCTATTCGGTTCTACTCTGATTCGATCCACTTTCACACGAACTTTGTGTGATTGCATGTATGTATGTGTGGGAAAAAAGGCAAGAATTCAATTTTAAAAGTGTAAATTGGTGCACAATGTATGCAAAGTAGTGTAGAAAGTGAGAAAAAAAGCAGAGTGCATTTTTTTTCCTTGAATACGTGCACGTGGTGCACTCGGAATCATTTGTTGGGTCGGGATGTGTGTGTGTGTGTGTGTTTGATGCATAGAAAATGTCAGACACTGTAATTTGTTATGTGTATAACCGTACAATTACGCACCTGCTTTCCCTTTGTGAAACAGGAACAATGTAATTTATAGACGTGCTAGATGCTATACGCTATCAAGTGCTCAAGGTCGACGATGGAAAGCGAACGAAGCTTGAAAGAGCATATTACGCAAACCATTTTTATCGTCAATTTTCAATCGGAGAAGAATTATTACCATTTTTTTCTACCCATCGCCGCCTGCCACTTGAATGAAATTGATTTTCACTTAAGGTTTGTTTAATACATTTGCTGGAATTGGTTTCCGATTCCAACAAGTGGTTGTGGTGGTGCCTTACCCTTCCATTCATTAATATTCATGAAGGTCACATCACCGGGCTCCCACCCAATCGTCGCCAAAGGGTGATATTAAATCAAAAAGACGGAAACGGACTTTTTGCGTCCGGTAAAAAGTTTTGAAGACCAATTTCTCAACCACAATGACGACAACGGCGACGACTACAATACACCTTTCGAAAACAATTTTATTTAATTGGTTCTAGCTTTTAGAACAATCTAAATTCAATTTACAGTAGCATACACATATTCCACCCAACCGTTCACACACAGAACAGTTCAAAACTGGAAATATCCAAAAGCGTTGTCAAGTTTTCTATACATTTTGCCAACGGAACACTGTTTCAACGAAGTTTTCGACAAAACACAAATACGTGCATAAATCAATATTGCGCACAAAAGCTTAACTAGAGAAAGAAACAGAAAGAAAGAAAAAAAAGTGCAAGTAATGTACGTAAGTGGGCGGTTTTCATTCAATATCCTCACAATGTTTTATTTCATCTCTTTGTGATTCCATTGATTACCCCATATCATCGTGATTGTAAAATGTGCTAAGCGTTGTATGTGTGGGCATCATGAAAACCCAAATTATTCACCAGTAAACCAGATTAAAATCCGCTTAACTTGAAATGCTTAAATATCGTGTAAGCACGTGTTTTCTACTCGTCCGTCCAAAGTTTTTATGTAGAAAATGTACCGTCGTTTTTTTGTTTGTGATTTATACAAACAAACTTGTAAATTAGAACAAATCGTTTTCGAAAAGGCGTTACAATGC